AACGCCGTTGGTTTCTAATAAATAAATATCTAATATGAAATAATAATAATAATGTGTGATTTGATAAAAGTATTATATATATTTAAAATAATATCAAAAATTTTACCAGAGGGAGACTTTGTACAAAAGTCGTTTGCTTGCGTACCTTTGTCCCATTTGTTACTACTTTCCATCAGGTGGGCCGTTAACTTGTTTGCCATTCTAAGATGTATAAAAAAAAAAAAATTTTAGTATAGATATACTAGCAATCTGATTGTTGCTAGTTATTATTAATATAATAAAATTGAAAATAGACGATTTATACATATTTTACCAGAGGGAGACTTTATACAAAAGTCGATTGCTTGGGTACCTCTGTCACATTCGTGTTTCAACCGTGAAGCAGTTGTGTTTGCATTGCTGTGTTTCGGTTTGAAGGGTGGGATATGGCGTGAATTTACTGGGTACAGAGGAATAACACCTGAGTTTTTAGGAATGGCAACGCATGGGGGTATCATGGGCGAAACAGTATACTCTGTTATGTCCATGGTACTGCTCATATCTATAGGCGACGGTTACCACTTTCCATCAGGTGGGCCGTCAGCTTGTTTGCCGTTCTAAGTTGTATAAAAAAAATATGAGAGATATTAAAGAAAGAAAATATATTATTAAGGTCTTAATATCAACAATAGAAGTCAAAACAATAATATTTAGCAATTTTCTCTATCTGTATGTTTGTTTTGATATCATGCAAAAACTATAGTATCAAATTGAGCGAAGTTTTCACCGTTGTGTTCTCGAAGGTTTAATTTAAAATTTGGTTATTTTTTTATTTTGATACGCCATCTATAAGCGCCATCGATTTTCCTATTTTTGAAATCTTGAAAAGCTTATTTGATATAAAGATTACATGCAATAGATAAGGTTTTTATAGACTGTAAAAATTACATAAGCGAGACAAAAAATACACTAGTATGTATACAACATTAATGCAAACTTTTGACATTATATTTGACTAAAAAAAAAACATATACAGGCGACCTCGTACAGCGAGCCCGTCGGTAATTTAGAATGGCGGATTGTTTGACAACTTAAATAAATTCTGAGACGAAATATAGCGTTGTACCAAGTTTGTGTTATGTTACAAGCGACAAAAACCTTGCCTAAAGATTTATAACAAAATTTCGTAGTTTACAAGTAGAAAGAATAAGGAAAGCTTGCTCTAAATACATTTTTTGCATCTAAACACACCTATAAATGAATGTGTGAATACATTTGTGGCAATTGAATTAGTAATTCCTCAAAAAATGTTCACAGACAACTTTGCAAGTAAGCTTGTCGAGCACGTCTGTGAGTTAGCGGATCATTTGACAAACTAAATAAATTCTGACGAAATTAAAAACAATAAAGTTTTAGAAATATTTGTGTCCATATATTTTTTACTACTACTAGTTGACTTGGTAAATGTTGTTCTGATAAATTCTTCCGGACACCCTAATTACTTAGCGGTCTGAAATATACTATATGACTTATAAATATACGTAAAAAAATTATAAAAATCGGTCGAGCCGTTTCGGAAGAGACAAACACCGTGACATGAGATTTTTATATATACGTATAGATAGTAGCAAACAAGCACGCTTGTCTGATGATAAACTATAGTGGTCTGTAAAAGTCTGTAGCATCAGGGAAGTCTTCAGGGAAGGGACGGCCCACCTGATGAAAAGTGGTAACTGTCGCCTATAGACATGAGCAGTACCATGAACATAATAGAGTATACTGTTTCGCCTATGATACCCCCCATGCGTTGCCATTTTTGAGGACTCAGGTGTTATTCCTCTGATCCCTGTAAATTCACGCCATATTCCACCCTTCAAATTGAAACACAGCCATACAAACACAACTGCTTCACGGTTGAAACACGAATGGGACAGAGGTATCTAAGCATACGACTTTTGTACAAAGAGGGAGTCTTTTTAAAAAAACTCAATACTATAGTCTCTAGGGGAAACCTCGTTAGGAAGAGCACTTCACAGTCTGAAAGTTGCGGGGCAAAAGCTTTTCTGAAATCGCATTGTGCATAACTATTTTGGTTCCTGGCATTCCCTGAAACCAAAATGGAAAGGAAGGGAGGATAGATTCCTTGTCGATGGCAAGTGATATATTGTATATTATTATTGTTTTCAGCGTAGTCACGTTTGTGTTGTAACTACCACAGGAACGTGCTTGCTAGCTACTTGCCTATTACAAGTGATTCTCTGACGAGTGTTGCTTTCAGTCGAGACCTAACATTTGGGAATTGCTGATATAACTGTAGTTAAAGGAAGTTTGGAATTTTAAATATTATATTTATATTTGTTATTATTTTTATTTCACTTCGTAGGCATTTAGGGTTTTGTCGTGTTTTGTTTAATCTAATAAAATGCGACAAGTAATTTTATTGACTCAAAAAATATATGGTATGAAAGGTGGGCTTAATGATAGTAGCATCTTTTACCAGTCAAACTTTGAGATGAACAGTGGACTTTGGTAGATTATGACGATAAACTTCAGAGCAAAGCTATGAGATTTTATTCACCTGCCTAGAAAATATATTAGGAATTCTTAGAATCCAGTAGAAGAGCATGCATTGCCGGATATAGGAAGGAGAAAGTAGGACTCACCGACCGGGTTAACTTGCTGAGTAGTTGAAGACCTTGGGTGCACCCTATGGCTTTGACTCCTTTTACACACACCAACACTGGTTAGATTCACAATTAGCATGTAAAAAGCACACGAATTTCCATAAAATTTCTAGTCTTTTTTTTTTCACTTAGAATATGAGCGACACAAGCTCAGGTACTAGCGACCGCCATAATGATATTTTTTGTTTTACATTGAAACACAGAGGTCGCCGGTCGGTGCGAAAATTTGAATTGGAGTTGTTAATAAATTAATGGGAATATATTATTACGAATGGATAAAGGAATTAGGAAAGGATGTCGGAACAGACTTACTGATTCGAACATGATGCTTCATTATTGGGATAGGTAAAGTAAATAATAATAATGTATACCTATATGCAATAAATAATGTATAGATAAATAACATAAAAAGATGATTATAATATACATAAGTATAAAGGTATATACATATATATATATATATATATATATATATATATATATATATATATTTTAGTTGTGCAACTAGAATTTTCTACGCCAATTCTCAAGACTTTTTTAAAATATTATTTCGTCTAAAACTCCCGCCAATTCCCTACAGGTTACTAACGTAAACGTCAATGACCTGCCTATCTATCTTGCTTATATATATATAATGTTGTATGTTTTTTTTTCATTGCAAAGCTTGTTCTTAACTAACTGTAACAGCGGGGGAAAGGGGATTATTAGTAATGGAGCCTAATAACCTCATTGTTAGTAATATACCTTATCCGTTCGACCTTCATGTGGTTCCCTCTAGGAACTATAATGGTTAGTTCTTAACTTTATGATGAGCTAATTGTGCAGTGAGATATTAGCAATAAGATAATTATGTAATAAGATGAGCGAACTTTCGTTCTTGCCTGTTTCTTCACTGATGTCACGCCAACGTATACCGACAGCCCAGGCGGGGATATGCGAGACCGGAATATTTTGATTGTCCAAGATAAATATATATATTGTTATTCTTCATCACAAATAGTATCATCATCATCATGTCAGCCTTTAATTGTCCACTGCTGAATAATGTTCAGCACAACCCCTTGCGGGGTTTTGCCAGTAGTTGCTACGCTTGGCAGATGGATTGGCAACTGCAATTAAGCTTTGAAGATGTTTTAAGAGGGACGCTGCTGTTCATACCTCACTTGCCCTTGATCGCCTCTTACGGCACCTACGGGAAAGGAAGGGTAGTCTAAACGGAATATGTATATCAAATTGCACGACGACGAATATGGGTTGAGTTGTAAAAAATGTTTGAAAAATTTGTACGGTGTGAAAAAAGAAAAAAAAGTGAAAATTTTCGATTAAAAATTCTCTAATAAAGTAATAATAAATAGATTTATTTTATCTTCACAATTCATCACAGTGAAATACATGCTTATATTAAGGTAATCAAATTATAAATATAATTGTGAGAGACTGGTGCCTGAGATAGGTATAAGAATACCTGTATTACAGGTCACCAGGGCCTCGCTCCGCAGGATTACTTACTAAGTACTTGTAATATAATAAGTGAATTCAATGTAATTAATTAATTAATCAATAAAAACAGAGGGAGAGGTTTCATTTTTTTATTATTATATTCACTTGAGACTAGAATAAGCCATACTAATAAGGAAGTAAGGATTTAAATGTAAACCTGATATAGCAGTTTAATAAATTAGAGAAATTAGAAGATTATTAAAGAAAAAAACATTTCGAGTATTCTGACATTTCCCTAAGGTTGATTGGGAGAGAATGCTTTTAGCATTAAGCCTGCCTTTTTTTCGATAGATGATAACGGAATAGTAACTCCGCCTGTGCTATCGGTATACACCGGCGGGGTACCAGTGAGGGATGATAAGTGAAAATGAAAGAGCAAGTCAGTTAGCCCATCGTGATAAATACACCTGGAATTCAGCATGATGGTTTCCAGGGGGGACGTGGAGGTCGACTTGATGGAGTATATTGCTAGCAATGGGACTGATAATTCAGTCCAGAGGGAGACTTTGTACAAAAGTCGATTGCTTGGGTACCTCTGTCCCATTCGTGTTTCAACCGTGAAGCAGTTGTGTTTGCATGGCTGTGTTTCGGTTTGAAGGGTGGGATATGGCGTGAATTTACTGGGTACAGAGGAATAACACCTGAGTCCTCAGGAATGGCAACGCATGGGGGGTATCATGGGCGAAACAGTATACTCTGTTATGTCCATGGTATTGCTGATGTCTATAGGCGACGGTTACCACTTTCTATCAGGTGGGCCGTCAGCTTGTTTGCCATTTTAAGTTGTATAAAAAAAAATTATAAATAAATAAAATAAAAACAATTGTATCTTTGCAGACGGTGTTGGGCGCCATGCCTCTTGCTGTGGCAGCGGTAAACCGCGAACCGAGCCTACTGCCAGGACTGCGGCTGCGGTTCGTAGCAGCAGATATAGGCCGGGCCAGGCCGCCTTTACCCAAGGACAAGGATAGCTTCGCACTACGGTAAGTACTATAAACACGTTATGTATTGTTTGTGAGTGTTGATATGGGAATAGGAAAACAAGTAGTGGACAGCAGCAGTATATTATGGGAAGGTAAAACGAAGAGGAAGGGCAAGACCGAGAAATAATCACATGGGACAAATAAAGGAAGCACTAGGTGTCATTTCGAGAGGTCAAAGATAAGGCTTGGACTAAAGTTGGCGAGAAAACTCTTAAATGAGAAGAAGAAGAAGACAATAATAATGAGTAATAAAAATAAAATGTAATTTTTGAAAATGGAATAAATTTAAATTAAGAAAATATATAAAAGAGGCTTATGTTGTGGACATTAGAGCTAGTACTACAGTAGGCCGATCTTCAAGCATGACACGCTAACACATCAGAAGATGACTTCTGCAAGTAAAAATGTTTTAACTGATACTTGACTTAAATGAATGATTAGCGCATATATCATTATATCAGATTTTATCTGTCCATTGCTGTACATATGTATTTATTTATTTATTTACTTATTAGTACAAATATGTGTACATGGTGGACTTAATGCTAAAAACATTCTCTCCCAGTCAACCATAGGGCAGTGTCAGAATACTCGAATACGGTACTACTAATTATTGATATACATACATACCAAAATTATATATATAAGCGAATAAATATATATGAATCACAAATATACTTACACAAATATGATATATACTATATTATACACGAAATTAAGAATAATATAAAGCACTTACTGCTCGGATAAAGATAAAAAGTGAGCGTGAACGCTTTTTTTGAAAGACGGTTTAGTTTTACTATTTAAAAACGAGCTATTATATGTAAAATAATTAAATATAACCTAACATCTAAATTGATATGAATACATGTATATTAGCTACTTATTAATAAAATTTTGCTACACCTAAACAGGGTTCATGCACTTACTCTTCATAAGAATATTGTAATAATTCTATATTATGTACATGAATGTATTATATTATTATTATAATAAATAAATAAATAAGTAGGTCTCCCGTGCACATTTAAAAAGAACAAGGACATTCCTTATGGCAGTTTACCATTGGACAGATTTTGCCAGAAGTTGCCACGCTGATCAAACGCGTTGGCAATCTCAGTTTGTGTTTTGGTGCTGTTCTAAAGGGGACGTTGCTACCGTTCTTTCGACCGTTAAATTCTCTTAGTCGCCTTTTTTTTTATACAACTTACAATGGCAAACAAGCTGACGGCCCAACTGATGGAAAGTGGTAACCGTCGCCTATACACATGAGCAGTACCATGGACATAACAGAGTATACTGTTTCGTCCATGATACCCCCCATGCGTTGCCATTCCTGAGGACTCAGGTGTTATTCCTCTGTACCCAGTAAATTCACGCCATATCCCACCCTTCAAACCGAAACACGCCTCTAAGACACGCATCAATATAATTATATATATAATATAAATGAGTTTTAATAATTATTTGGTTATTTATTTATTTATTTATAATATTTATTTATAAGATCAACGTAAGATGCAGCAAATAATATATTTCAACGCAACACACACCACGCCACTAGATTGGGACTAACTTTTCTTATATTTACTTAGAAACAACTTTACACTTAGAACCAACATGCTTTGTGTTTGTTTGTGTAATAATAAATGGAATGAAATTAATATGTTCATAAAATTAAATGATAAAAGCATACGTACTAATTAAATGACGTATATAGACTAAATTATTGTAACATAAATTAAATATAGAGCTGTTTCTGCCTTATATTTAGGTATAAAAATATGCTATAAGTTGATTATTTTGTATAATTCCACGTTCTATAGTACAATTACTACACAGTACAAAGTCGCTTCTCGTCTGTCTGTCCTTATATACATAAGGACAGACATGTGCTCTTATGTATGCTTGGATTTTTAAACGGATTTTGATGAAGTTTTTTTTTAATAGATAGAGTGATTCAAGAGGAAGGTTTATATGTATAATACATGCATAATATTACAAAGAGAAAGACTGATAATTTTAAAGGTTTCTAATATAATGTGAAGTAATGTGCACGCGTGCGACGCCGGGGCAGGTCGCTAGTAAAGTATAAATAAACATGAAAATCAAATGCTATTTTTTTGCATATTTTGTTGTAAATAAATAAAATATGTGTGTAAAGTGTAAATATTTCTGAATCGTTTTTTATTACTTTAGATAGAGTGGAATTAAGTCGTATTAAAATAATATATATTTTTAGCTAATTTAAAAAGGTTCTATTTTATTTCATGTGTTTTTTATAATTCATATTTAGTAAAATTCCTTTACTGTGAAAATAACATAAATATAGTTTCACAGAGTGACCACTAGATGGAGCTCTCATTTTTGTATACGTGTCTGCTACAAGGCATCGATAAAATTTTCTAACAAGTGTATATAAGCTGTCAGTCCGTGTGGTCCCAGCATAGAATAGGCCACCATTTCCTTTCCTGTGGGTGTTGTAAGAGGCGACTAAAGGAACGTAATGGTAGTGCAGCAGCGTCTCTTTTAAAACATCTCTAAGATCCTAACTGTGGTTGCCAACTCGTCTTCCAATCGTGGTAACTTCTGGCAAAACTCTCCTTATGGGGAAGGCTTATGTTCAGCAGTGGACAGTCAACCGCTGAAATGATATTTATGTAGAATATATTGAATGGAAAAAATAGTCCGAGCGTGTATTTACTCGTATTTATCGAAACCATTAAACCTCTCAACTGTGTCGCGTCCGCTTGCGCATCTGTGTCGCGTCCGCTTAGCGGACATATAGATAATAATGTCATATATACTGTTTTGTCTAAACTAGCTTGTCAATAAGTTTTAATTATTGTAAACAAACCACCTCTTGTCCCTAATGCCAAGAATGTACGTAAAATAATGAAATAGGAGACCCACTTAAGTGTTGATTGAAGAAGGACTTTTTTTGGTCCATTTTTATAAACAAGTGCTGTATAAAAAATGTATTGGACCATAAGCCATTTTATTTTTATTTTATCAAGTATATAATATTGTACAAAAAATTTTACATCCTGCAAGGTCTTAGTTTTTTAATAATTAATTACATAAGGAATCTAGTTGGAATTTAAAACAAATCTGAATTTTGTATAATTCCAATTAGATTTCGGAAAATTCAGGTTTTTTAAACCTATACGCTAAAAATACCTAGTTTGTGTAAAGTCCGCTCACGGGACGCCACAGATGTGGATTTTTCACCACCATTTTGAGAGCATGACACAGTTGAGAGGTTATAAATTACATAAGCATAATATATAAGAAACGTGAAAGATGTAATTAAAGAGAAATATCAGTTCATATTTTTCCCGCCCTAAAACTACGTCAACAACTATATATATATATATATATATATATATATATATATATATATATATATATATATATATATATATATATATATATATATATATATATATATATATATATAATATTTGTTTTTCGTACCTCGATCAAGTGTCTTCAGGTTGATCATAGAGGACTTAACAGGTATCTATCGATTTAGCCGAAGCGCATGTTGATTATTTCTATGCTACTATGCAGCCACACAACTGCTTCACGTAGAAACACTAATGGGACAGAGGTACCCAAGCAATCGACTTTTGTACAAAGTCTCCCTCTGGATGGAACATGCATGGAAGAGACGAGTTATTAAAATAAATGATATTTTTTCTCATATTATATATATCACTACATGATAAAACAAAGTGTGTCGCTGTCTGTCCGTCCTATACAAAAAAACTACGAGTTTAGAAGCGTTGTTGTTAGATAGCATTCAAGATTTATACTTTATTTTATTATTATTATTTGAAAAATTTGTTTTTATTATAACAAAAAAGTCTTATTTGATATTTGTGTATTTTTTATTATCATGCAACTTAGAATGTATATATAGTATATATATATATATATATATATATATATATATATATATATATATATATATATATATATAAATTTGTGTACCTCGATGTGTGAGACATCATAGAGGACTTAGGTATCTATCATGGATTGTTTCATAATGCCAAAATGGTTTGGCTTTAACACTATCCTAAGGCTATTTGCGAACCGTCCAGACTGCCAGTATTTGAATCATTGTGGCTCATGATTCACATGTTGGCTAATATACAAAAAAAAAGGAGTTTGGGTCGTTGTTGTTTGCATTGATTTCTTTATTTTATTATTATTATTATTTTTGTATTATTCTATTTGTATTATTCTATTTGATATTGTAATAATTAATATTGTATGATTGTAATTATTATAATATTTTAATATATATTATTGTAGAAATATAAATTAATGAGTCCTGATTACCTTATTAAATTATTTATTTATTTACAATATTATTTATCTTCTATTACTATCCATAGTTATTTATCTATGTATCACAAAATAAATAAATGCAATGAAATGAAATGAAAGTGCAAGAAACAATGGATGTAAGGATACAGGTGTTTGGCATTCGATCATCTCTGTCTGTCCCGCAGGGAATTTGGTGTGATAAATATAATATTTAGATAATTATGATATATATAGCCGAGTGGTTGGCATGGAATAAGCCACCCTTTCCTTTCTCGTGGGTATTGCAAGAGGCGGCTAAGGGAAGTTAATGGCAGCAGCGTCTCTTCGTCTCCTCTTAAATATCACCAAAGACAGACATAACGACTGATGATGATATTTACAGATTATACCATGTTCATCTTCCATAGTCTCATCATACTTCCTAATTGGATTTGTATAACAGGTATTCATTATGTTTAGAGCGCTTGAAACTGATAGAAATTGACTTCTGACTAACCTTCTTCTAAATAGCGAATATAACGAACGCACATAATGTATTTTATCTATATTTCTTTCTTTTTTTTTTATTTTTTTTTTCAGTGGTATTTCGCGGCTCACTTTTGGCCACAACAGAATATCAGTGTTTTGCTCTTTTTAGGGCAAAAACAAAAAGCTGAGTTGTTACCATTTTGTTTTAATGTACCACACGCATGATGAAAAAAAAAAGACAAATTTTATGCATTCTGATTTTGTTTTTGATTTTTTATTTTTATTTTTTGTACATGTATATTTTTTTTATCTTTTTTCACTGTGCATTTGTGTCCGTTGCTGTTTGTGTGCTGTAAGTAATGTAAATAAATTATCTATCTATCTATCTATCATAGGGGTGAACAGAAGCAAAACTGCAAGCATAGTTATGTTGATTTTAATTTTTCACCAAATACGTTTATAATAGTAGGAAAGATATATAGCTCTGATATTACAAAAATCTAGACTTTTGATAAAATTTAAAAATATATAAAAATGTTTTGTTTTTATTGTTCCTTTTAAAAACCCTTAAATCATTTTATTACATATCTTCTATATACAGACGTCGTCCAGTTACAATTTTATTATATTATTAAGATTTAATTTATACTTTCTTGCAACAGTTATAAAAATAAGAAAAAAATAAAAGGAAAAAAAAAACAAAAAGAAAGCATAATTAAAAGTTTAACGACGATATTTAAGACAACATTAATTATACTATGCCATTGTTTTTCTTTTCTGTGTTTTTCTTTTTTATCTCTTTCTTTTGACAAGTTTGCCATTAAAAGTGAAAATTTAGCTTTCGTTATTTCTATATTTATAATAGCCGTTGACTGTCCACTGCTGAACAAAGGCTTTTCGCTATTTTTTTTGATTTTTTAACGGGATACGCTGGCGGAGCACCAGTGAAGGGTGATAGATGAGAATGAAAACAGGAATATCACGATGAATTCATCATTAACCATGATAGTTTCCAAGGGGAACCGCGAGGAGGTCGACCTGGTTAGGTATATTGCTAGCAATGGGATTCTCAGTCTCCATCACTAACAATCCCTTTCCCCCCGGCTTCCCGCTATTAGGAGTAGGTAGGTGGCTTGGCAACCGTCAGTTAGGCTTTAAAGATGTTTTAAGAGGGTCGCTGCTACTCGTCCTTTCGACCATTATGCTCTCTCAGTTGCTTATTATATGGGACATATGGGAAGGGAAGAGGTGGCCCGTTCTATGCCGGTACCACACGGCGAGTTTCCTTGTTTATTTAATTTTTAAATCTACCAACGTGTTGTTATTATTAGAAAGGATAGATGGCGCCTTATTATTATTTATATGTTTAAAAGAATATGTGGTTGCAGGGTGATGACACAAATGCGTGACCTGGGAGTAGTGGCATTCTTCGGGCCGGACAGCACTTGCCACACGGAGGCTAAGCTGGCAGCGGCTTGGAACCTACCATTGATATCTCATGTAAGTTTTTTTTTCTTTTCTTTTTACAAGTTGAAAATAGAATGGTAACACTGCCTGAGCTATTGGTGTAGGCTGGTGAGGTGAACATCAAGTTAGCTAAGTTGGTTCACCTCATCGTGTCGATTTCACCATGGTGTTTAGGAGGGTTGCGTGGAAGTTGATCCGCAGTTTGACAGCAGTGAGGTCGCTAGACTCCATTACTCACCACACTCTTGTGGCTAATATATTTTATCCCGAAGAGATAAAATAAATCACTGCCATGAATTGAATGCTTATTCTTGCTGATTACTCTGAGTCGTAAGTTGTTTTCTTTACTCATTTAATACAATTAATCATTTGATAAAGTAATATTTTATATATATACTAGATGACTTCGTAAACGTTGTTTTGCCATACACATTATTTCTAGAAAATAGTTTTTTTTTGTTCAATCAAAAATAGCTAACACTATAAGTGTGTTCGGATGTAATTATAATTGAAAGAGGAATGAAGCATTGCAGGCAATTAAAGTATACTTATTTAAGTTAATAAATTAATCAAAATAACAAATACATATAAAATTACAAATATATATATATATATATATATATATATATATATATATATATATATATATATATATATATATATATATATTATTGCACAATAAAACTTTGTACAAGTAGCGAGCTTAATGTCATACTTTGTGTGTTTGTGTGTCAAACAAGCTGATGATGTAAAGTGGTAACCGTCGCCTATAGACATGAGCAGTACCATGGACATAACAGAGTATATACTGGTTCGCCCATGATACACCCATGCGTTGCCATTCCTGAGGACTCGGGTGTTATTCCTCTGTACCCTGTAAATTCACGCCCTTCAAACCGAAACACAGCCACACAACTGCTTCACGGTTGAAACACTAATGGGACAGAGGTACCCAAGCAATCGACTTTTGTACAAAAAAAAAACAGAAAAGCGAGGTAAAAACAGAAAGCATATGAAGGGCAGAGGTGGTGAAAAATATGTGACATAACATACTTAAATATGTTAAGTATTAGTTTATGTTTCCTAAATTCTTGAATGAATCCTACCAAATTTTCAATTTGCCTAATGGTTGACTGGTAGAGAAAACCATCCAATATTAGGTCTGTCAAATACACGAATTCATATAACTACACTAAAGTTTAAATAAATATCCTAAAAATTCTGTCACTGACAGCAATTATTAGGGAGACCTTAGAGAGGGCGAGCATAATAGATCTTCAAGATTGGTGTGCTACAGATGACTGCCTGAAATGAGCTCGAATTTCAAATAATATTAATGTCTTCATGAATTACTCCTGAATTGAACCGATAAGAGAGATAAACGGCACATGACATTATCTGACGCGAGCAAAGTTGTGTCTGACAGTTGTTGGTTGTATACGAATGGCTTTCGGGATTAAAACTCGGAAGTTAATTTTAAATTTTAACCTTTTTTTTATATGTACTTAAATTTATTTTTGGAACGCCATTTATTTTTAGGCACGCTGTATTATTAGTCTGTTATGTCCATGGTGCTGTTTCTGTCTATAGGTGATGGTGACCACTTTCAATTAGGTGGACCGTCAGCTTATTTAAGTATGTTGTATCAGCCCTTAACTATCGACTGCTAGAGATAGCCTCCCCCATAAGGAGGGTTTTGCCAGTAGTTGCCACGCTTGGCATTGGGGTTCAAAATCGCAGTTTGGGTTTTGGTGATGTTTCAAGAGGAACGCTGCTGCCCATTCCTCGAACATAAGTTCCTTTAGTCGCCTCTTACGACATCCACGGTATAGAAACGGGTAGCCTATTATGTATAATGTAAAAATTGTAATTAATTAAAAGGAAATTTTAATCATAATAACTGAACTGAAATAACTGAAATAAACTATGCGTATATTATACCTGAAAATAAAAGATTTATTATTATTATATACCGGGACCTATACGGCACATTTTAAGTATAATATAATAAAAAAAAATTATCGTGAAATACGAATTTTTTATAATAATTGTACTCCAATTCCTGGCATTGCCAATATTTACAAGGAATTTAGTAAATTTCACTTCACCGTATTACTTTATGAGTATTTTTGGATTTTCTGAATATTATAACATATTCCTGGAAGTTATTATTAATGAATAAGTTGTTATTGATCTTCAACCTAACGTAATAAGTGCCAAATAATTACAATAAATGTTAAAATTAAGATACTACGTACTGGGAGAAATTAGACAATGAATAAATGTAAAACAAGAAATAATAGAGAAAAAAGAATTTTACCAGAGGGAGACTTTGTACAAAAGTCGATTGCTTGGGTAATTCGTGTCTCAAAAGCAGTTGTGTTTGCAAGCTGTGTTTCGGTTTGAAGGGTGGGATAACTGGGTACAGAGAAATAACACCTGGTCCTCAGGAATGGCAACGCATATCATGGGCGAAACAAATGGTACTGAACTACCACTTTCCATCAGGTGGGCCGTCAGCTTGTTTATTCTAAGTTGTAAAAAAAAAAACACGACTATTAAGTTTAAATAAAAAAAAAAATGAGAATGGTTGTTAATCAATTTTAAAAGAATTATAACAGAAAAATAAAGATATTTTTTAACAGCTATTCAATGACTTAACCAGTTAACATATTATGTCGATTTTTTCTTTTTAACAATATGGCGTCTGGTTGTCGCCATATTGAATTTTAATTACAGACATATCTTTATTGATACTGGCAAGATCAAGATAAACCGATTGACGTAAGAATCACCAAAATTGGCCCATATGTGTTTGGTTTTTAGAGCACCACAAAGGAACATATAAACATAGACTGATAAATACAAAGTTGTCCTCGTTGCTCAGTCGGGTAAGGAGAATGGTTTGCTCTTTGAATTAATCCGATCGATCGAATGAAATCAAATGGAATCGAATCAAGGATTTCATCAAGCAAAGAAACTTTCTAAAATAGCTGGTTTCTTAATGTGCCAAATTACCATTAGTTAGTTTAACCCTCTAGATCAGTGTTTTTCAACGTGGGGGTCGCGACCCGCTTGGGAGTCGCGAAGCCTCTATAGGTCGCGAAAACTACTCTATTAACAAAAAGAAAGTTACTAAGATAGATTTATTAAGAATAATGATGATTAAAAATGTTGTATGGATTGAAGTATTCAGTCCCTTTTTTTTTTTTTTTTTTTAACGTCTGGAAAATGATCAGACCCATTTGTGGGAACGGGGTGGGAAAAGGTGGGGGTGTACCCACCAAAAACCAGACGATATACCCTCGTATGTCGGAGACATGGGTTCGCTTTCGCACTCACCACATCTCCGACGGCAGCGACCCATGGTAAGAGCAGGTCTCCTCTCTCAAGATAGGGTGAATGGCGTGCTTATCATATAAGTCATCCCCCAGGACCATTGGGACAATACCTTCCCACATCACCCCAGGGCCCAGTGGGGAAGGAGGAGGGGCGGAACTGGGCAGTTCTTCTGCGTCTGACTCGTCTGCGGCGGATTGACGGTGCGAGAGTGGCGTCGTGGTTAATTCTCGCAGTAGACCATCCGCCGGACTACGGCGTCACGATAAGTATTCAGTCCCTGCAAGATCTTTGTAACGGGGGGAAAGGGATTGTTAGTAATGGGGTCTAATTGACCCATATTTTCATTTCCCCCTCCGTCGTGATTAATTGTCACCTCTTCTCACCTGTCACCCCTCCTGATAGCGCAGGCGGGATTACCATTCTATTATCACTCAATAAAAAAAAAACATTTTTGTAACATTATAAAATACATTAAATAAAAGCGAAGGGTCGGGGGTCATAAAATATTTTTTCACACTAGGGGGGTCGTAAAAAAGGTTGGAAAATACTGCTCTAGATAAAGTACAAGCGAATCTATTGATAGGATAGTTATCGCTAGCGAGTCTATAAAATAGAATGAGATGCCAACAGGCGCTGTCTCGTTTCTTCTCATGGGAGCGTTGATTCAAACGATTCTGTCCATAGATTCGTTTGTACTTTGTCGAGATGGACTGAAATGCTGACACTTATGGTAGTGTTTTCGTTTCGTATCACAATCAGATTATTTTTCTCATAAGACGCCTGTGAATCCGTATTGTTTTCTTAACTTTTGATCATTTGATATCTTTATTGCATTTTGAGTTAGCTCGTAAAAATGGGACGCTATCTGGGTCAACACAAACTGGACACGGTCTTTCGAGAGCGATTGGAATTCTGCATGGTTGCCATAATTTATCATATATTAACCCTTGAACATCAAAATCATTAGCATCATTTTAAAAGACTGCCCTATCAGCAAAATTTAATGTCATACCCAAAAAATTGGGTCAATAAATGACAAAAAAAAAAAAACTATAGCCTGCCAAGAGAACGTAATAAAATGTAACCGAATTTTGTCAAAATTATTAGGAAAACCATCTCTAAATTAAATTAATAACAAAATATTAAATAAATTAATAATATTTTATTTGTACTACTATTGAATATGAGCAGACAGCCGATGTATACGTATGTCTTTTTTTATGCAACTTAGAATGGCCACCAAGGTGATGGCCCACCTAATGGAAAGTAGTAACCGTCGCCTATAAACACAAGCAGTACCAAGGATATGACAGATTATACTGTTTCGCCCATGACACCCCCCCATGCGTTGCCATTCCTGAAAACTAAGGTGTTATTCCTTTGTACCCTGTAAATTTACTGCCATATCCCACCCTTCAAACCGAAACACAGTTATGCAAACACAACTGCTTCTCGGTAGAAACACGAATGGGACACAGTACCCAAGCAAACGACTTTTGTACAAAGTCTCCCTCTGGTAACTCTCTCTTTGACTGCCTGTATCGACTCCCTACGACAGATTTGACATCAATAATCTATTTATTTATTTATTCTTTATTGACAAGATTTACAAAAGACGGTTTTAATGTAGTAGTAGCTTTAATGGCTTTCATATAGTATATTCTCCCAGTCAACCTTTGAGAGGAAAATGT